AAACAACGGGTACGGACACAGATGAATGTGGGGAATCGGCGTAGTCAGCTTCCAGCCCAACAACGAGATCGTATTTTGAAAACGAATACAGGAGGAGGCAGCACACAACGCACAAGCAAATCTACGACCACCACGTGTTACGCGTGCAGAGCGGGTGCCCCACCCAGTTCCAGACATATATCTTCCTGCAAGCACTACCAGTCGAACAAACGGGTTGGTTTCACATCCAGCTCGGGCCGAGAATTCAAGCAAGGCGTATACTTCAATAAGAGTTTGCCCGCGGTCAACACCATTGCGGCTCTGATAGACTCGGACGACCAGCAAACGGAGCATGAGGAGACCACGCCTACAGACACACACATTGCTTCTATTCTGGCACACCCAGACGAAATCGAACAGGGTGAGTTGGAAGAGGATGCAACGTGGGAAACCATAAGTAGCGATCAGGAATAGGACGTAAGGGTTTTAGGAAAAACCCGCGGCCGATTGAACATCCCGTCATTCACCGTCAACACATAGGGATCCTGGCTGCCCTTCATGCCGAGGCTCGTGGCCTCAGGTACTTAAACGTGACACAGTACTGGTGGCTCCTCCTTTGGTGGCCCAAAGGAATATTTAGCCACCAAACTTGCAGACAATTTTGAAGGAGTTATTATCCTCAATATTTTTAAATCTTTTTTTAAGAAATATATTCATTTTTCTTTCTTTAAAGATATTATAACAAAACAGAAATATTTTTATATTACTTGTGGCTATAATAATATCGGAATTTCATTTTTAAATATTCATTCGAGTCTAACTTCTGAAACTACCACTACTCGTGACCATGCAGTTATTTCCCTTGAGGAGAGGTCCATTGGCCTGCATTACATTAGTTGGTTTAGTAACTTTGTATACTACGGGTATAATAGAACTGAGATCCTACGATTTTACCAAACGCCCAGTGGTTTTTATTCGTGCGTTTTATAATGAGTCTCTCGTTAGTGCTGTGTCGTACTCGATGCATGAAATGGAAAAATACGCTGGAACCGGTAATAGTGGAAATCATGTATGGTCGTACGGGGCGTCATCCTTGGTAGATACCGACCAGAATGTAATACTCTCTCATACTGAATCCCCATTTACACTCACCCATCCTTCTAGTGAGGTCGAAATTAATTTGGTAATGATACCAGTAGCGAACAATCTACCCTGTCAGAAGTCTATCGCGCAGAAGGAGAAATTTATCATCAACTATCAGTATCGAAATACTAAAACTGCAGTGATTGGGATAGGATGCGACTATTTTCCAGTATCATCGACTTCTGAAATTGACATGGGTTCTAACGCAACACTGTTAGATCCTACAAACTATATAGCACTTCAAAATTTGACACATCTTCGCCGACTTAAAGATTCTATTGACCAACTATACTTCTTCTCCGTACGGGGCCGAGTGACTGAGATGGTTTTGGAACATTTTGATATTGCTTCGACGAACCTAGGGTGTCCAAGTTTGATGATATCATCTAATCGTCGCCTTGGAAATGTTCTTGCTGAGAAAATGAGGATCATAGTGGAGGGGAAGAATACTAGTGAGTTGCGATTTATTATAACTCTTCCTTGGAAATTTCTCAAGGAAACTCTGAAACTGCTTTTGAATATATCGGAACAGTATCCTGGCAGTGCAGTGGTTCTCCAGGATAGGAGGGATATTGCAACGCTCAGAACGGCCGAGAGCAATGGCTTAAAAGTTCCTTGGGAACGAGTATTCTTTTTTTTTTCTGTTACAAGATGGAGAGAGTTTGCACGAGAATTTGATGGGGTCATTGGTAGCCGAATACATGGAACGATGGTTCCTCTGAGCGTGGGAGTCCCGGGTCTAATTTTGGCACTTGATCAGCGCTTGAAAGAGCTAGCAGAGCGTATGCATATTCCAGTTGTCCCGGTCTTCGATACAAGAATTACTGCAAACAACACTGTAGTTGACATTTTCAAACTTGCACTATCAATATTTAATGCAGATGCGTTTGACAAAAATAGGCAGCAAACAGCTAGAGTATATCGTAAAATGTTATTAGGTGCAGGTGTTTTCCCCTCAAAAAATCTTCTTCGCCTTTGTTAGATTGTATGATAGGTTTCAACAGATACCCAATGACAAATTCATAAAGTTAAAGAGAAATGGGTGACCATGTCGAATTATCTCTCTGCCGAAGGAAGATTAGGGATTATTTTTTCTCATTCGAATATGGTGCACACACTTTAGATTCAAGAACCAGGCTTTCTCGAGCGCTTGAAACTGATATCACCCCGAAAAATGAACAGGGATAAAATTAATAATTTCAATAGGTTGAAACGGTTATTGAAGTTGAAAACTTGAAAGTGGGGAGGTGCTCTGGCCCATAAGGTTTACGTATGTTTTCAAATTGTTTATGATCTCTAATGGGAATTATCGTGTTTCTTTAAACCGAAACAATCATTGGATAAACCAAGTGCTCTAAAACCCAAACGAACGGATTATTAGCATATGTCAATTTTACATTTGATGGTTCAGATAATGAACAATAAATCTACAACATCCCCCCCCTTGTAGCAGAGACGTACGTTGAGACATTGTTTTCTTGATTTATTAACTACATTTTAACAAGCTTATAGAAGTTGCACATGAATTGATGATTATTATAAAAACAAAACACATTAATTGACAACGAAGAAAGTGAAGAAGAACCGAAATTGTTGCGTGAATATATCATTTTTAGTCATCTATCATCACTAAACCCACCCACAAGAATGAACCGGGTAAACAACGATTAACTTTTGCGATAAACAGCCGTAAGAGGTAAGCATCAACAGTCTATAGTCGCAGACAGTGGCGTGGGCAGTAGCGAATCAAGCAGGCCAAAGTTGCTGTATGATTCAGGAAGTGTGGTTGAACTCGTGGTGGTAAATAAAGAACAACGAACGCTGGCACAAAGAACAGGATCAGCCGGGTATGGATAGCGACAGACAAATTAGGTTAAAAGTCACACTGTGGTTATAGTCCCCTTAAACCATTATCAGTGTGGAGTTAAAATTAGTTTACAATTAATTCACACGAGGTGAATTATTTGTAGACCACGTAGACAATCAAATATAAGAATAAATACACCGCACTGAGCCTCATGGAGACTCAGTAGGTTTTAGTATCGTATCTTGATGTGTTTACTACATTTTTACGACTAGTTACTTTAGGTGTATTATTCGATTTTATCTCGAGGATAATAGTGGACGTAGAAATTCGTTTTATTGACAAATTACAGGAGTTGATCTGCCTCAGTACCGGATAGCTGAAAGGAGCTTGAAAATTACGACAGGAGCAAAGTCTTCCGAGCACAGATAAGTGAAATGAAAACCCCACCTTCCGTTTTGCTCGGTTTGATACGTTTGCGTGATTTTCATATATATATATATATATATATATATTATGCAGTATTTTATAATTTATTTAAATCTAGAGCAAATTGGAGTGATTAGTAATATATG